GCCCTGGACCTCTGGAACACAGGGTCTGGAAGGGCTTCTAGGTGGGGGGCACAGGCCTGGGGGGCTCTCAGGAGGGCACACAGTGGGGGTGCAGGGGAGGAGTAGGGGTGCTGCCTGAGCTCAGGCCCAGAAATCCTGAGACCCCACAGCTGGGCAGCTCAGAGGCCCAGAGGGGGGCATAGGCTGCCCAGCTCGGGTACAGAGCCAGGACGTGGCTCCCACAGCCGCAGCCCCTTAAGGCTACACCTGATCCTCCCCGCCGGGCGCTGACCGGCAGCGGCTGCAGGGCTGAGGTAGATGAGGTCTCGGAATGATTCTTCTCTAGCAGAGTTTTGGTTTCAGAGTTTAAAACAATAATACAATGCAGCCAAGTCTTTTTTTTTTTTTTTTTTTGTACTGGGAATCAAACTCAGGACCTTGCGCTTGCCAGGCAGGGGCTTGTGCCACTGAGCTATATCCCGGCCCGCCTTTTTGTTTTTTGTCTTTTGAGACCATCTTGCTGTGTAGTCCAGGATAGCCTTGAACTCGCTATGTAGTCCAGGCTGGCCTTAAACTTGTGGTGATCCTCTTGCCTACCGGGTGCTGGGGTTACAAGCGTACACCACCACGCCTCTGAGCCTAAATTTTAAGACGGACAAGGTCTCAACATTCCCAGCCCCGTGTGTCCTCCTGTGTCGTGTTTCTGTCACAAGCCGTGTGACCCACACTGGTCTCTCCCTGCCCTTCCGAACCTAAGGCTTCCTGGGAAACAACCCACTCCCATAGGAGATCCCCGCTCAGTATGTGATGGCCTTCATAGTGTCTCTTCCACAGCTGGGTTTGGAATATTTTCATTTTCTCAGAAAGACAGAGGCCCTTTGCAGTCACTTCCACCCAAACTGGCAGCCATAGACCTGCTTTCTGTGTCCCAGGTTTTCTGTGCTGGGTGCTTCCTGTGAATGCAGACACGGGGCTCCCAGGGCTCTGTGCCTGATTCTCTCCAGCTGTGTTTTCAGGGTCCACCTTCTCGTAGCATCTGCCAGGACTTGCTCCTCTTCCTGGCTGAGTAATGTTCCTTTGTGTGCTGTATCACACTGTGTTTATTATCTTTGTCTTTTGTTGGTTGTGGACATTTGGATTGCTTCTACTTTTTGGCTATTAGGAATAGTGCTGCTATAAACTGCACATATGAAAAGGGGGTAACTGGGGATCAACCACACACTTGACCCCTAAGCTACACCCCCAGACCTACAGGTGCACATCTTCATATAGCTTTGTGTTTTCATCTCTTGGGTCTACAACTGGGGTTCAATCCGTGTCTGTGGTCCTGGGGATTGAACCCAGGGCCTTCATGCTGAGCTACATCCTCAGGCCTTTTTAAAATTTTTTTTTTTAAACAGAGTCTTACTAAGTTGCTTAAGTTTCCCTCCCTATAGTACGCAGGCTGGTTTGAGCAGCCAGAATCACAGGCTCCAATCACCACACCCAGGTTGTTTCCCCCCACTCCTCCCCTCAGCTGCATTTGGCTGTGTCTCCTAACATCTTCCACCAACGGCTGCCTGTTCGATTTCCTGCTCTGGGTGTTTGTAAAGGGAGCCCACTCTGTGTCCTGCGGAGTTCCCGGGTCTGGTCCTGCGGACGTCACTCTGCCCGCCTCTCAGAGCCCCTGATAGCTCCTAAACACCAGCAGTCAGGTCCAGACGACTGACTTAGGTTTTCTCCTAAAAGAATACCAGATATGACTGAAGAGAATGGTGAATGTTTAAATTTTTTAAGGACTTATTATAGCTAAAGATCTTAGCCTCAAAATCCTCCTGCCTCACTTTGAACACACTTATCCTTGTCACTTTCCACAGCAGCTCTGGAGTCCTCTTTCGTAAGTGCCTTTAGTTGCACTGTCCTGGCTGCCTCCAGGTCCTAATTTGATTCAAAATGTTTCCCTGTCATGGTCATTTTGACTTTGGGGAAGAGCCAAAAGTCACCAGACCTGGTGAACAAGGTAAGGGCACAGCGTCATTATAAGCCCGTCTTTCCCTTGAATGGCTCTTGGCAGCAGCATTCAGTGTACTTTTGATCACACCTTGTGAAGATACTCGGGAAAGAGTACTCCAGAGGTGCTGCAGACAGTGGCAGGAATGATGGGATGAGTGCATGTAAAGTGAGGCGGAAGATTCCGAGGGAGACTTGTGGCAGCGTGTCTTTCACTGTAATAAAATTTATTTATTTATTTTTCACTGTAGTAAATTTAAAAAAATTTAAACACACATATTTTTCAACCATAAGACAGTCTGAAGCCACAGGTGATGGTGGCCCTGTGACACTCCCCACGTCCCACTGTCCCCGGCAGGCCTGAGCTCCAGCAGGGTCATGGCGGCCCGCCGCCACCCCACAGTGCTGCGCATGGTGCTGGAGGCCCTGCAGGCAGGGGAGCAGCGCCGTGGTACCTCGGTGGCGGCCATCAAGCTCTACATCCTGCACAAGTACCCCTCGGTCGACGTCACCCGCTTCAAGTACCTGCTGAAGCAGGCCCTGGCCACGGGTATGCGCCGTGGCCTTCTTGCCAGGCCCCTCAACTCCAAGGCCAGGGGCGCCACCGGCAGCTTCAAGGTGAGCCTGGGGCGAGGGTGGTGCCTCCCCGTCCTCCCTGGGCCTTGGCAGGGCTCCTGCGAGGGCGTCTGGCTCTGCCTGCCTGTCCCGGTCCCTGTGGCCCCCGCCCCTCTGCAGGCCTGGGGATATCGTGCCATGCTGGCGCTGGGTCCTGGTGCCTCACCGCTGCAGGGTGCTCCCTGGGCTCCGGGTCTGTGCCCAGGCTGAGGTGCGCCTGTTCTCCCTGTCCCATTCTGGTGATAATGTTCCAAGCAGGGAGCTGATCAGGGTCTGCAGTGGGACAGGATCTCACCGCGGTGTCCTGGTACCTTTGGCCACCAGGTTATGGCCCCTGTGGTTCCTGGGTGACCTGGGGTCCCCAGGAGAATATGGTGGGTGGGGAGACCAGTGGGTGCTGGCTGTGCACGAATTCCTGCTCATGGGGGTGAGGAAGACTTGAGAGGGAGTCGCAGTGCTCAGGGTGGGGCTCGGAGAGGGGGATGTGTCGGAGGCCCAAGACCCCATGCTCCCACAGTCACTCCCACACGGTGCCCTTCCAGCTCGTCTCCAAGTGCCAGAGGAAGCCACAGCGCAGCCGGAAGCCCGCCCAGACGGGGCCTACCGGCTCCAGCAAGAAACGGGACGCAGAGCCAAGCGGCCCAAGGGCTCCCCCGAAACCGGCCAAGGCCCTGGAGACCGCCCCCCAGGGAGGCTGCAGGGCAAAGGGCACTGGGCCACAGCGGGGTGTGGCCAGGAAGGACCCCCCAAAGCCAGCTGGGGCCCCCTCAACTGTCCACAGATTCGGTGGGAAGCCAAAGGTCCCAGGCAGCCGGGGCAGGCAAGGTGGGTGTATGGCTGGGCCCAGCTGTTTGGGGGGCAGCTGGGGTCCCCATCCTTGGGAGATGCATGTGGAGCTGGGAGGAGGAGGGGAGGGAGGAGGGGAAACAGAGGCCCCAGGAAGGTTCCTGGGGAGAACAATGCCCATGGGACCTGGAGCAGGGTCAGGGAGGACTTCCCGGAGGGGAGAGCTGGGGCTCCGGGCCCCTCCACCTGCCAGCAACACAAGCCCTTTCTGCCTTCCAGGAGACGCAGGGGCCCCTGGGAAAACTGCAGCCACGGCCCCCAAGGTAGGCTCCCCCTTCCCCACCCTAGCAGGCTGTGGGGGGCAAGCAGCCACCCCTGGCCCAGGGGCATCTCCCAGGGCACAGGGAGCACACTTTCCTCCGACAGAGCACAGCTCAGCGCACCTTCTCAGGGGGTGGGGCCTCATCACCCCACTGACAGCTGAGGGACCGGGGCTGGGCGCCTGCTTCACCAACTGGCTTTCTCTCTCCTAGGCCGGAAAACGTGCTGCCTCCCCGACAGGCAGGAAGCCAGCAATAAAGTCTGCCCCAGGACCCCGACCCAAACCCAAAGCCACTGCTGCCACCAAAGCTACCGCTGCCCCCAAAGCCCCTGCTGCCCCCAAAGCCATCACTGCTCCCAAGGCTGGGGGCCCCAGGACGGGGACTGTGTCTCCAGTCAGGAAGGCTGGGGGCCCAGGGAGGCCCAGGCCACTGGTCAAGGGCTCATCCTCATCGTCCTCAGAGCCCAGGAGCTAGAGGCCAGTGGGACAGCGGGTAGCTGGGCTGGAGTTTTTATCCCTCCAAAGCATTGCACTATTTATTTAACCCTGACTTATTTATCAAACCCTGACATACTTATCAATAAAGACACTGATTTCTCACATGTGGGTGTGTGGGTGGATGCTGAGATTCAGGGTTTGGCCGGTAGCGCCCCGCCACCCTGCCCCCTGGCCCCTGCTTCATCAGCCATGCTGGGTACCACTGCCCTGCAGGAGACAGCTGGCATCCTGCTGGGAGCTGTGCATGGCTAGAGGTCTTGGAGACTGGGGACTCAGGAGGCCGTGGACCTGGGGCCACCTTGCAGCGGGTGCCCTGTGGGTGAGGGCAGGGCTGTATAGGGGTCACCAGTGAGGTTGCACAGGGGTTTATGGTGGGCGGGGCCTGAGCCCTGGGCTGTGGGGAGGCAGGGGGCCACAGGCAGTGGGAGTGGCCAGTAGGTGTGTTTAGGAAAAGCCTCTGTGGGAGGAGGGATTTGGGGAGCTGGTCCAGGAACGTGGGTGCCACTCTGTGGGGAGGGGGCACAATGCACCCCACTGCCGGGTTCCCGAGCTCCCTGGCTGCCCCTGCGAGCTATGCCAGTGGACCCCTCGGTGCCAGGTTGAGCCTGCCTCACCTGGCCCTGTCCTAGCTGCGGGTCTGGGAGCAGAGTCGTGGTGGCTACTGTCCTTTGGCTGCGGGTGACATTGGGACCTGCGTGGCCAGGCCACTGCGCAGTGGCTGCTTTGAGCTGAGGTCTCAACACAGTCCTGGAGACTGGAGGTGTCACCAGGAAACGGTCCTGGTGCAGCCCTCAGCTCCTGCGGCCTTGCTAGAGGACCCAGCTCAGACACACAACTGTAGAGGTGGGGAGGTTCCCAGCAAGCCGGCGGTGCGTGCTGCCAGGCTGGACGCCTTACGTGCCAAGAGCCACTCCTGGTGTGTGGGGAGTCGGGGTGGTGAGGGTTCTGATCCCAGTTCACTTAGAACTTTGGAATTGTAGTGTCCTCCTGTCCTGTTAGACTGATTCCTCGGGCTTTCATTACATGACAAACTCGCAGAAATTTTCATTTCAATCAGGCCCGGCCGAGGCAGGCAGGCGGGTCTTGAGCATGTCCTTCCCTGGCACCCTTGGGCTGCAGGCTGCGGCAGCGAGGAGAGCTGCGCGCCTTGTTCTGGGGGTGGCCGGGTGGCCTGGCATCAGAATAGGTATCACCTGTGACCTGAAGAGGTCACTGTGCTCTGTGGGGTCGCATGGGGTCCAGCTGGCTCAGCAGGCTGTGTTAGGTTGCTTCCCCATGGTCCCTCAGGCCCCACTAATGGCCAACACCTGCCTAACAGGAGGTAACTGGTGAGGGCTTGGGACAGCGAGCGGGGACAGGGAGACTGAGGCTGTCCAATGTGGCCACCACATGGCTCCCTCCCTCCCCACCTGTGCAGCTCAGCCACGCCCTCCTTCCTCTACCCCTCGAGAGGCTCTTCGTATACCTCCCTTGGGCATCTGGGTGGCTGCCGCCAGGGCCCTGGGGTGCGAGCAGGTGGCCATGTCTTTCCGCCAAGGGTCTCTGCCTCTGCTCCCTGTGGCTGGGCCCGGGCCGGGGTTGGCGGTGATGGCTGGGGCAGGCTGCAGGCCCCGCCCAGCGGATAGCTAGTGACAGCCCATGCTCCGGGACAGGACCCATTCTCCCTTTCAGAAGTTTTGCCTGAGGTGTCTCCACCCACCTCTAACCCTTAGTAGAGGGTAGGCATGGTCCAGGGGCCCACGGTGCCACACACATCTCCAGGGCCTGGATAAAAGTTGCCCCCCTTCCAGGTGATCTAGGAACCGGAGGGGGCCTCTGCTCAGATCACCTCCTGAATGGCAAGGAGCTGCATTCCAATCAGACATCGCGCTAATCAGACGACAGGCTGTGAAACAGCTACTGACAAGAAAGATGTCGCCACATACTGTGTGGGGGTGGGGGTGGGGCGTGGCTCGCAGCGGCATCCTGGCTCCCCGCCGCCACCCCCGGCCACCTCCGCTCAGCCTCCTCGGGCACCGTCCAGGGGTCCCGGCTCTTTGAGAACGAGAAGCAGCTTTTATTTCCTTCGTGTTCTTTGTGCTCCCCACGTTTCTCTGGGAAACGTAGTCATTCTAGAATCACGCCCTCCCCCTCAAAAAGTCCTGTCACATATGCCAATAACTTAAATTAGAAAATCTGCTGCTTAATAAGGAGGAATCGATGCTTAGAATAGAACATTTGAAAGATGAAGTCGAGCTTTTTCCTGCAGTGGTTTCAGGGCAGAGAGAGGTTTTTAGAGCAGAGGATTGCTCACTTTCCCTCGGACTTGTGCGCTGACCTTGGCTTAGGTTGGAAGCTGTGGGTTTGTTTCTGTGTTACAGAGTTTTGGTCTCAGCTCTTATTCCTGGTTTTGGTTTTCTGAGGCAGGGTCTCACTATACGGTCCAGGCTGCTCTTGAACTCACTGTGCAGCTCAAGCTGGCCTTGCAAACATGGTGCTCCTCCTGCCTCAGCCTCCTGAGTGCTGGGATGATAGGCGGGCACCATCATTTCTGGCTGCCGGCTTTCACTCTTGATGAGGGGGCACTTTTGTGGCTTTGTCGGGCAGTGGGAGGAGGGCCCTGTGGTGACCCGTCCCTGGGGTGTGCGAGTCCCAGACGCAGCAGGTGGCCTAGAAAGGCAGTAGCCTGTGTATCTGAATCGTCAGCTGCTGCTCAGCGCCGGTGTGTGGGGCAGCTTGTCCTGCTGGGGAGCCACCTGTGTCCTTGTCAGAAACATGTGGTTAACGACACGACTGTTAAAATGAGAAATTCAGGGCAAGCATACAACAGTCAGCCCCTCCACCCAGAAGCACCTCTGTTCTCTTCACATTTCAGGGCGCAGGGAGAGGCGCTGGGCTGGAAGCAGGGCCCTGAAGGAGGACCCGCCTGTCCCTCCCTGGCTGTGGCCCCTTGGGAAGCCCCTTGGGGTCTCCATCTGGACATTAGAAACACGAGGATCGGGGTGTGGCTGAGCGTGAGTCTGGCCCGGTACCCGCATGGGCGTGGCCTCCATGCCCGGCACCGCATTGCACATGCATGCTCAGCAGGGCCAACCCTGGGGAGCACACAGTGGTGACCTCTTCCTGGCGGGCCTGAGGGACCAGAGCCAGGCCCCACCTCCACTCCACTGCAGACTGGGGGGGTTAACGGCCCCGAGTCCCTCGCTCCCAGGACGAAGGCCGAGCCACAGTAGGTTTCCCCGCAGCTTTTATTACAAAGACAGTTCCAGCAACTCCCTGCAGCTGCCCCGGCACTGCACCATCCCAGACGTGGGAGACAGAACTGGGTGAATCCCCGGGTGCAGAGGGCCCGGCCAGGCCTGTGCTGGGGACAGTCACTTCCAGTGTTGCATGGAGGCCCCTGCACAGGTGGCAGCTATTCACAGTCAGCACATGTTGAGTTTTAAAACATATAAAAGCTTTTTTTAAAAAACAAAAACACAAAAAAACCCAAGAAAGTGGCGCTATCCTTCGGAACACTTCCAGAAGGACTGAGTAGCCCAGCTACAGCCTCGGTACGTCCCAGCCCTGCTCTTCTGGGGGAGCAGGGTCCTCCCCCGCCCGTCCCAGTGTCCCCGAGTGCATGGGCACTGCCCACACTGGGCCCAGAACTGTGGAAGTCTGGCCCTGCTCTGTGTCCACAGCGGGTCCTGCCCAGGCAGCAGGAAGGAGCCAGCATTTGGTGGCTGAAGCAGAACCCACAAGGGCCCTTCGCATGTGGCTGAGGTAGTGCTTCCAGGCCCCGTCGTGTCCCTGTCCGTGCTGGCTGCTTGTGGGCAGCGTCTTAGCAGCTGCTAGGGCAGCAGGGTGCACAGGAGCTCCCCACGGTCTGGCTATGGCATTTGAGGCCCCCGCCCGAACTGGGTCTGGGGCAGGCAGAGGGGACGGAGCCCCTGCCCCAGTCTGCATAGTTAGAAACTCCTGAGGTGGCCTCTCCTCACAGCGGGTGGGCGGCGCTGGGCTCAGGCCTCGCTGTAGCACTCGTAGATGTTGTCCTCCATCAGGGCCACCACCTGTTCAAACTTGTGCTGCAACTGCGTCCTCCGGGCTGTGGGGTTGGCCTCCAGCGCCGCCACGATCTGTGGGGTGACCAGGGCAGCCCGGCCTTAGCTCCCGGGAGAACGGGCTGCCCAACACCCACCCAGGAGCCTTGGCTGGAAAGTGTCACCACCCCACGGAGTCCTGGAGTGCCGGTTGCAGGGTGCTCACCTGCGGGCGGTACCGCTTGGCATATTTATAGATCTCTGCCAGTGCCACATTGGTGTTGAATTCATTCTGGTATTTCTACAGGAACATAGGGGAGGAGGGCATGGTCACGGTCACGAAGGGACCCACGCTGCCTGCTCAGCCTTCAGATAAGCAAGCAGGCCCACTCCCAGGAGAGAACCCGGATTCCACCTCTCCTCCCGGGAGCACACTCCAGCCAGGCCCAAGACCCCTCTGTGCCCACCCGTGACTCCTCGGCCAGGTGGGCGTTCATCTCCTGCTCGCTGAGTGGCGCCATGTCCTGGATCTGCTTGTAGTAGCGCTGCACGACCTTGCGGTACTCGGGGATCTCCTTGGCATACAGTAGCTTGTTGGTGGGAGAGTCCTGGCCGGGAGCAGGGGGATGAGGCTGCTGTGTGTCATGAGCCCCACCCCTGCCGCCACGCCAGCCCTGGGCCATCCCTGTGTCCCCACAGTGCTGGCTTCCGGCCAGGCCTCTCCTACGTCCCCAGCTCAGGACCACAACTGGGACTTTCTCGGGGGTCAGAGCATCGGAGTGCCACACCGGCCCCCTGGGTCTACAGGTCATGGTGGCCAGGACTGCTGGAGGCCCCGTTCCTGACTCAGCTGTTTTCCACCGTGTTTGACACCCAAAAACAACGCCCAGTTCTGTGTCCCTTTGGGGACATCCTCGCAACAAATGGCAATTTCTGCCCTCCTGGTCTGTGTCTGCCATCGGGTGCCCTCTCCCTGCCCCAGGTGCTGGGTCTTTCAGGCCTTGGCCTGGATGCCCCATCAGCCTGTGCCACTCCAAAGCTGGGTGCCCTGGCCCAGGTGGAGCCTCAAGCCTCCTTCCTGTGTGTTGCTCTGAGGTCCTAGTCCTGTCCACCCTGGACCTGTGTGGTGACCTTCAAGGACTGCTCCCGGAGCCCATACCCATGCTGGCCCGGCCCACCTTAGGCAGCAGGGCAGGTTTCTGGGTGCCCCACCTACAGATCCCACTCACCCCACGGCCTCCGCCCTGGACTGCTACCCCGCCCGGGAGGCCCACCTTGCCCAGCTGGAGATCAGAGATGGAGCAGGCATCAATGAAGGCCTGTGCAATGACCGACAGGCAGGCATCAATGTGGTCCGTCTTCTCAATGTCGAACACGAACTGGGGGTTCTTCAGGATGTTCACCCAGAAGCGGAGGGGCAGGCTGGGGTCGGGCGACAGGATGCATGAGCCCTGGGGACCCTGGGACCCCTGGCCTGCTCCTCTGTGGCCAGCTGGGCCCCAGCTTCCCCCACAGTCCCCATGGTCTCCAGTTCTCAGCAGGAGGCTCAGCTGGGTCCTGGTTCTCATTAGAGCCCTGCCTGCCTGCCTGTTCTCCTCCGCACACACCCGGAAGCAGGCACTAGCGGCCCAGGGCCTGGGGCCTAGATCCCAGGCCTTGTCCTGAGGAGGCCTGAGCGGGCTGCTGACACTCCCACCCCAACCCAGGGCTGACACAGCAGCCTGGAGCCACTGGACCCCAGAGAGCCAAGAAGCTCTTGAACCACTCAGAAACGCTGGGTGCTGGTGTTCTGAGGACCAGGTAGAAGATTTTAACCCCCAAAGCTGATATGTGACTCCAGGGAGAGCTGAGAATGGGCTCCAGGGCACACAGGGCTGAGTGAGCATCGCCACCCCAGGGCCTGGGCTGCCACAGGGCAGGGGGACGGGGCGGGGGCAAAGCCTCCACAGTTACGGTGGCCCTGAGTTTACCGAGGGGCAACCGCAGCCCAGGGGTTGAAGCTCTTGCCCCAGATCGCAGGGCTGGAACCTGGCGGGCATCAGGAGGGGCCAGGCTCCCTGCCCACACCTGTTGGTCTTCCAGATGTGCAGTGTGTCGGGATCCAAGATGCCCCTCTTCTCTGCCTGCTCTTCCAGGAAGTCGAAGAAATACTTGACGGCCAGTGGGGGTTTGTCTTCACGGATGCTCAGGATGGCCTTGAACAGGTCATCCAGGAACTTCTGCAGCGTGCCCTGTGGGAGGGGTGGCCACTGTCAGCCAGGGAGCCTCCCGGCCTCCGGGTTTCCACCTGGGAATCCAGTCAGTGGTGGCCAGGGGCTGAAAATGTGGGCTTCGGGGGTGAACGGCGGCACCCAGGCCCTGTGACCTTGGGGCCATTACTGACCCCTCCCTGCCGCCCCAGCCCCCTCCCCGCCAGGTTCACGCACAGCTGACCACTGCCAGGGGAGACTGAGGCTGACCCACCTTGGTGGACAGCAGGCGGGTCAGGTAGATCTCAGGCAGCACCTTCTTGCGGTGGCTCTGCCGGTGCGACTTCTTGGGCTCTGCCAGCTCATCAGTGGGCAGCACCTGGGGACCGGGCAGTGGTGAGGGACTGCGCACGTGCTGTCCCCAGCTGTCCAGGGGGTCTCTCCTGCAGTTCCCACCACTGCCCCAGCCTTCCCCGCCTCAAGCCTTTCCCCGAAGCCCAGGGGCTGGAAGCCAGGGCCACGCCCATGGGGCTGAGTCCCAGGGGCCAAGCCAGGCACTCACCAAGTGGAAATACTTCTCTGTGTCCAAGTCTTTCACTGTGGGAGGAAAACGCACAATAAACAGGGAGGAGAGGGTGAGGCGGACAGAAATGGAGACAGAGAGGCAGAGGGGAGAGGGAGGGAGGAAGAAGGGAGGGAGAGAGGGAGGAGGCAGAGAAGACACAGAGGAAGACAGGAAACAGCTCCAGCCACAGCCACCCAAGGCCTGGGTCCCTGCCCGCCTGGTCCTGCAGGTGAGCTACGGGAGACCCCGAGCATGCAGCCCCTCCGCCTGCTCTGAGCCTGTCTCCCCCAGCTGTGTCCTGGATGCCCCAGAGTACCTCGGCCCAGAGTGTTGTCTTTCTTGTCTGTTAGGCTCATGGCCAAAGAGGCGCCTTCTGGGATCTGCCAGGGGAGAGGCAGAGGTCAGAGGCCAGGGGCCGGGGACCAGGGCGGAGGGCGAAAGTTGGGGTGGAGGGCAGGGTGCACCTTGTAGTGAGCCAGCGTGTTCAGCTTCTTGCGGCCATCCTCCACCACCGAGGTGTCGTCCAGGTCCCGCAGGATGTAGCTCTGCGTGCTTGTGGCAAACCATTCTGGAGGTGCAGGGCAGGAGGTTCATCAGGATGGGCAGGTACAGCTAGGGCCACAAAGGAGGAGCCCCAGCGCTGGAGGCCTCCGTCTTTGTGGTAAGGAGGGTCGGGGTGCGGAGGAGCCCCAGTGTTGGAAGCCTCCGTCTCCTTTGTGATAATGAGGGTCGGGGTGCACAGCGAAGGAGCCAGGACCCCTCCCCCAGCTCATTAACACTAAAACTGCCTAGGAAATAAACGCCCCACCTGTGAAGAGCACCCCCACAGCCTCCACGACCCCTGCTGACCACAGGTAATGGGAGCGCCTGCTGCGCCCTCACAGCTTACTCGGTGCCCTGCCACTGCATCCTGCCCAGGCCACCTGTGGACCCTGCCCTGGGCAGAGAGCAGCGTGCATCGGAATGCAGGTCTTGGCAAAGACCTGGGCTTTCAGCATAAATCCGAGGCTTCTAGGCACCCTTCTCAACCCCGTTCCCGCCCGCTGGGGAGCCTCGCTGACTACTCTGCACTGGGTCTCCCGCACAGCGCGCTGCGCTCCGTGCTGACCCGGCCCCCATTCTCCTCTCCCCGGGGCCCTTCCTGATGCAGCGGGCCCTGTGCCAGGTGCCCACCCAGGTCCACGTCCTCAGCGCGCGGCCACTGGGAGTAGGGCACGTTCTTGCAGAAGGCCTCCAAGATCTTCTCCTTCACTTGCGTCAGCGTGTCTGTGTCCATGGCGCGCACGCTCAGGGAGTCCATGCCGCAGCCTTGGAAGGACACATTCAGGTTCTACGGAGGAGAGGCGGGGTGTCAGCGGGTAGTTCCGGCCACAGGCACGGCGAGTGGAGTGGAGCGGCTCAGCATCGCCAAGTGCAAGGCCTGGGTTCCCTCCTAGCATCAGACAGAATGCAAAACCAAAGCCCAGGAATGGCCCAGGCCTGGAGGAGCACGCCTGCGGCCCCGCCCACCAGCGCGCGGCCCCGCCCACCGCCCGCCCTCACCCGAGGCTTGGCCTCGATGTTCTCGCGCAGCAGCCACTCCTCATTGAGCGTGTAGCGCGCCTTGCCAGTGATGGCGTCGATGGAGCCCTTGTTGATCTGTTGCTTGATGGCGCACAGCAGCAGGAAGAACGGCTCCCCGACGGTCTCCTGCAGGCCGGGCAGTGAACCAGTGGGACCCCAGCCTGCACCCTCGCTGCTTGGGGCCCTGGGACCAGAGGCCTCGTGGGACACAGTTGGGAGCTGGAGCCCAGTGGCCCCTGCTGCTCTCCTGCAGGTACCGGAGTCCCGGGCAAGTAGATGGCAAGCACCAAGCACACAGCACTCTGCTCCCCAAGAGGACCACACCAGGGGCCCCACTGAGCTGTGCCACAGACCACGTTCCCAATGGGACACAAAGCCCCCACCCTCCTCCCAGACCCTGGGGCCGCTCTGGGAGCCTGGGGTGGACGGACACCCATCAGATCCTCCTCAGACCCCAGCCACTGGCGGCTGCTGGCTGAGCCCGAGCGGGCCCCACCCCGGGCCCCGGCTCACCCGCAGGCAGCTGTACATGCAGATGGACATCCAGTTGGTCAGCATCTTCTCCACCACCGACTCGGTGCGCCGAAGCATGAGCTTGGGGTTCTTGGCGGCGGAGGCGTCGATGAGGTCCACCAGCAGCTCCTTCATGATGCTGGTGTAGTACTCGAGCTTGCCGTGCAGCGCGATGGTCAGCAGTGACGCCAGGCTACACCTGCGGGGACGTGGCGTCAGCACGGGCAGTGGGAGGGGCCGCGGCCGCCAGGCCCAGCCTCACCTGTCGCGCACCGCGAAGTCCTTCTGCTGCTCCAGCGCGTGCACGAAGACGATGAGAAAGTGCTTGTTGCTGAGCAGCGAGGAGAACAGGCTGACGCCCTCCTCCATGCTGGGCCGGCAGTTCTCCGGGACCTGCGGGCAGGAGGGGCACCTTGATCTGGGGCAGGGACAGAGCTTGCCGCCTTCCCACCTTGGGCGCCTCCTGTTTCTCCGTCTGGGAACGGTGGGGTCTCCCGTTTCCATGCTCTATGCTGCACGAGTGTGGGGCACTGAGGGGCCCTGTCCCCTCCCTCTGGGCTGAGCAGCCAGTGCTTAACATCAAGTCTGGACGGCAGCTTTAATGCCTCTGGGGATGGGGTGCTCACTGCATTTTGGTGGCAGGTGCCCTCCCTCTGCGGGCTGGGCTTGCAGGGCTAGGCGAGTGGGAAGCGGGGTGGGGCACTCACGTTCCACTCTCCCAGCAAAGGGTGGGTCTCCTGCACTGGCGGGCCCCCCTGGGAGCCCAGGGACTGCGACGGTAGCACATAGCGCTCTTCGTACAGGGACGAGCACTGCGGAGAAGGAGCCCAGCCTCAGAGGGGCAGCCTGGTGCACCTGCCTGGCCCAACACGCCTGGCCCAGGGGCACAGAAACAGCCCCACCTAGAGAGTAAGAGGCATGGACATGCCCAGGCCCAGGGACACCAGGGCTACCAGGGAGTGAGGTCCCCAGAGGCTCCCTGGAGGGTCACAGGCATTGGAAGCTGCATGAGCCACGGTGTGCAAGAGGGCGGAGGCTTCAGAGGAAGCGGAAGCAGCTCCGTGTGGAACGGGGGAGACTAAGGCAGGGGCTGAGGCCAGGAAGGGCATTCCCCTTAGCTGCTGCTTAGGGGATAGGGAAGGCAGGACCACTGTCACTAGGGACAGGGCAGTGGCCCTGGGAAGGGCAACAGGAAGTAAAGGAGGCGTGGAAAGTTTGGGCAGGGCTCACTGGACAGGAGAGGGGACATGGAGACCAGGAGAAGCAGGCTGGGGTGGCCGGCCTGGCACACCAGTGGAGCGGGGCTAAGATCCGGCTTCTGTATGGACAGTGAACATCCAGTGAGTAGAAGAAAGTCAGGGAGAGACTGGGCACTAGCCTTGGCAGGCAGCAGGACCACTGTGGATGGCAGTGTAGGTTTCGCGCTACTCAAGGGGCCCATGCTGCATGAAGGTGCCATAGGCCCAGTTGCTCAAGGTACCCAGAGCAAGTCTGAGGGGGCCCAGGCTGACCTTGGGGAAGAAAGTGCGGGTCACAAAGTGCTTGTATTCCAGGAAGGGGATGCCCTGGCTGCGGTTTAGCTCCTTGGTCAGGTCTGTCATGTCTGTCTGCAGCTCAGCAAAGCCTGGAGGACAAGTGGGAAGCGTGAGCAGACGCCAGCCAGTCCCCAGGTTCCCGGACGGGAAGCCACTGCCTTGCCTGTCCCTGCAGTCCCCGGCTGCTACCTTTGCGGATCTCCTCGCGGATCTGAGATTCCATCTCCTCCATCTGCAGCAGCGTCTTCTGCCAGTAGCGCTCGGCGCGGCGGCTCTTGGTACAGAAGACGAACAGGGCTGCAGGCAGCAGGCAGGGCGTCAGGTACCAGGTCCCCACATCCCTCAGCCCTCCTTGCCCGTTGCCCAGGGCTTGGGGACCAGAGGATGCCTGTGTCCACTTCTTAGCAAAGGAAACGAGTATGGAGGGAGGTCCTGGGGCAGGAATGGGGGGCGACTTCTGCTTTTTTCTTTCTCAGTTTTCCATTCCTTTTACAGTGACCAGATGTGGCTTGTTAACAGCAGTGTCACTCTAACCCTCCTGAGGGCGGGGAGGGTGGGGAGACAGAGGGACGCAGCATCCCTAGAAAAGGGGCTACAAGGAAACATGCAGCACACAGGGGGTGCTCAGGCCAGCATGGGTTTTTCGCCCGCTCATTTTCCTCCAGTTTCCCATGTACTTTTCTTACATCACATATGATCAATTTTTTTTTAAGCTGTACTAAGATACCGTGGACACTTCACGCAATCTGCCCGTGTCAAGCCTGTAGCTCAGTGCCTCCTGGGAAGGGGTGGCCATCAGCACTAACCTTAGAACATGTTCCTAGCCTGGACAAGCCCTGCACCCATGAAGCAGTCCTCCCTCTTGCTCTCAGCCAACAGCCACCGATCTCCTGTCCCTACAGTGGACCTCTTTAGGACACTCTGTTTAAATGGAATCCCACAGCATGTGGCCTTTTCTCTCCAGCTTCTTTTGTTACCATACTGTTCTCAAGGTTCCTCTACAGCACAGCACCTGTCTAAGCTTTGCTTTTTTGTGGCTGAATAATATTTTACCACAGGGACAGACTGTGTTTTGTTTATCCATTTATCCATTTATCAGCTGATGGCCAGCCGCTTGTTTTAAGCGCTTGGTTACCGTATATAATACTGCTGCCAACATTTGTGTGCAAGGTTTTTTGGTGGACACAGGTTTTAATTTTTTCTTGGATAGATACCTAGGAGTGGAACTGCTAGGCCAGATGGCAGCCCTGTGGCACCATTCTGAGGGCAAGCATTTTCCAAGCCAGTGCCCACTCTACACTCCCGATGGGGCAGAAGGGATCCATTCCCTGTTTACTGCTCTATACCACTATTATAATCAGTGGAAAAGCCCTCTCTCTGAACTTTCCATAGCTCCCTGGACAGCCCTCTCTCCAGGACTTTCCATAGCTCCCCAGTGACTAGAAAACAAGATTCCAAATTCCCCTGCCTGATGCTCACAGTTCATCTTCCATCTGCCGTGCAGCAGCAGGGCACACCACCCCGGCACTGCCACCCCCATCCCTGCCTGTCTGGAGAGGCCTCCAAGGAAGGGCTCCGTACCGACCACGGACAGCAGCAGCAGGACACTGCAGATGACGATGGATGCCACGATGGCCGTCTCGCTGCCCCCCAGCTGCAGCGTAGCAATGGTCTGGTTGAAGTTCCCCACCTGGACCTGGCAGAGGGAGGAAGGGTTGTGGATCCAAGGAGGCGCCGCGACTCTTCTTGTGCACCTGCCGCGTGGCCCTGGTCGGTTGCTAACCTCTGACTCACTGACACCACCAGACAACCACAGCTAACCCGGGACACGCGGACCAGCGTGATGCCCATCAGACCTTGGCCTGGGCCTGGCCTGGCAGCCACATGCAGGGCAGGAGTCAGGACCATGGAAGGAGCAAGGAGAAGCCAGAGGTGGGCAGCGCCCAGAGCCCGGCTGCTGGGCCCAGAGTATAAGGGGGCCGACCTGGGGCCAGGAGAGCAGGTGAAGAGTGAGGACTGGGCCTGGGTAAAGGACACTGTCCTGACCAGAGCCGTCCTTGGGTGCCGCATACACCTGTGAAGGAGTGAGCACACATGCAAGCGGGGACAGGGCAGAAAAGGGCCCACTCTGCTCCTCCTCCAGGACCCTGTGCTGACCAACAGCCTGCTCTAGATGGGACACTGAGAGGGTCTGTCAGAGTACTGCTTCTGAGAGTCCAGCCCCCTTTGGCCCTGATGGCCCACTCACTGACTGTTATGGTTTGTGTCTGCATGTCCCCCCAAAGCCTCAGGCAGTCATGAGCGGGCTTTCAGAGTTTTTGATTGATCCATGATCCAATGCTGGGATGATGGGTGTGAGTGCTACACCTGCCCTGGGGCGGACAGTCTGCATATGTAAGGGAGAGAAGGAGGCTGCTGGCCGCCACTCCTCCCTTTTGCTCTTGCTGTTTTCCCTGTCTTCTGCAGCCATGAACGGTTGCCTTCTGCCATGTGCACTCTGCCTTGGAGCCAGCCGAGTATGGACTGAAATCTCCACAAACTGTGAGCTAAATAAACCTTTCTTTCCTTCATTTTGGGCGTTGGGTATTTTTTCTCAGCAATGAGAGAAAAGTAACCAAGACACTGACTTTGAGCAGGAGGTCACTGGGTTCTTGGACCTCAGTTTCTCCAGCTGTCAAGTGGGGGCATAAAGCTCTGACTTGCTTTGCTGGCCTAGGCCACTGAACTCCAGGAGGGGCAAGTGCTGCACAGAGGGGTAACACTGCTCACTCAGGTGAGGGCCACCAGCAAGCCTGCAGGACCACCCACTCACAGATGGGCCCACCCACTCAGATAGGCCCGCCCACTAAAGCCTCCAGAGCCTGCCCACTCACGGTGATGGGCAGCTGCCCCTCTGCAGCATCCAGAGAGTCGTTGACTGAGCAGTGGATGACTCTGTCAGAGACGATCTGGATGTCGCAGGCCACCTGGCCGATCTTCACCCGGTACTCATGGCTCTCAAGCCCCAGGCCATCCTGCTCCTTCTGCAGAGACAAGTGTGGGCAGGGATGGGACAGAGATGGGGACAGGAAGAGGACCAGGGCGGGGGCGGGGGGTAGAAGTGCGGACAGGAGGACGAGGTGCTCACGTGGATGACGAGGGTGAGTGGCTCCCCAGGGTGGTGGCGGATCCAGCGCTCACGCCGCGCTGTGGAGAACTGTGGGTCGGGCAGGTAGTCCAGGTGGAAGCGGCTCCCGCGTGGCACCTCCTCAGGGTCAGGCAGCGCCTCATGGGCCATCTCGTCCGTGTAGACCCGGCCGTTGATGAAGAAGGCCACGGGTGCTGAGGCGTTGTACAGGGCCCCAGGCGACGGACAGGTGATAAGCGTGGCGTTGAGGACCTTGCACAGCTAGGGACAAAGGGACAGATGTGCAGGGGCAGAGGAGCCAGAGGGGACAGAGGGAGGCCCCGCGCACAGGCAGCCAGGGCCCCCTCACCCGTGCTGTCACCCCTGCTGCCAGGTCCTCACCGTGGGCTCCCGGCCGATGCGGTGCACGGCCATGGACACGTTCTGCACCATGTGGAAGCGCTCACCAGCCACCGTGATGGTCCTGCCACCGCTGCAGACAGCCAGACCGTCACCACCGGTGGCACAGTAGGAAGGGCGGGGCCGGGGCCGGGGCCTCAGGGACCTGAGCTCACCTGATGGGGCTGCGGCGCGGGCTGATGGCCGTGATGACCGGGTTCTGCATGTAGGTGAAGCTGAGGTTCCCACGGGCACAGCCCCGGCGCTCGAAGCGCACACACACGGGCACCGGGGTGGGCAGGGCACCGGCAGGCACAGTGCAGGCAATGCTGGTGTCCGAGCGCCTGGGGGTGCAGGGCAGCAGGGGTGACCTTGACACTGCGCCCCCCTACAAGCCCTCTGTGCTGCCCTTTCTCCGCCCCACGCTGGCTCTGTTCTTCCTGACCACCTCTTCCTCTGGGAAGCCTTCCTGGATCTCTCAGTCAACACTTCCCAGCAGCTTTTCTCACGATCCTATTCCTATTTCCTGTGGCTATGTCTGCCTCGCCCCTGCAGGCTGTGCTAGGCCTGGCAATGCCTACTGGTGGGGCTTGGCACACAGTCAGTATATAACACAGATAGGCACTTCCCACCATGCTTCAGGCCACTCTTGCACCTGTAGCCACACCCCGGGCCTGCAGGAGAGTCTGAGCTCACTGGGTGCTCACCGCAGGCACTGCGGTGTCCCTTGTAAAGAACTTTCTACATGCGCCCCCACAACACTCCCACCACTCACTGCTCTAACCTCACCATGTGGGGAAACTGAGGCTCAGGGAGGTGAAGGGGCCAACAGACCTGAGAGGAGATCCCCCCAGCCTGCAGTCCCAGGGCTTACACAAGCTCAGTGCAGGGGTCAGTGTCGTTCACCAGGACCTGCAGCTCAGAGCCCACGTGGAGGTCGCTCCCATGGATGGTGATCCGGGTGCCACCTGCCGTGGGGCCCATGGCCGGCTCCAGGGAGTGGACCTGGGGTAGCTAGGAGGGGAGGTGGGCAGTCAGGCTGGGCACTGGGCAAGCACGCTGGTGGGCGTGGTAGGTAGGGCTCCTCACCACATAGGAGAAGCGCTCCCGCGACGCCCCCTCCTTGGACACGTTCACAGTCACCACATCTGAGAATGCCGCAGGGGCCGGCCCCGTGACACACACAATCCTGGGGGGACACCAGGTCACACGGTCACAGCTGGAGACGGGCAGTGGCACTGCCCACCGGGGTTACCCCACCCAAGTTTCTGTAGCTCTAAGATGGAGTTACATGGTTCCTGGACACCTGCTGGGCTGCTGGCCAAGGTAAACAGTTCCCCTGCTGTCCCTGGTGGTGCACCCCACACCCCTACTTTCCCGACTCCTTACCACCAGAGCCAGGGTGCGTGGCAGAAAGGCTGGGCAGGGGGTGCAGGGCTGTGGGGACAGAGCCTTGGTGCTCCTCGGGGTAGGACAGGGCCTGCCACCACTCACTCCTCAGACACAGTGTATCTGCCGGCCAGCAGCTTGCATGCCACGTCGCCGATCCACACGCCATGGACCACATCACTGAGACGCCGGCCCAGGTCCCGGCCACGGATGGTCAGCAGGGTCCCACCATCCAGGGGGCCGCTCAGGGGCTCAATCTGCCAGAGGGCAGAGAGTGCAAATGGAGCTAGGAGACCTGGAGGCCCAGGAACTGTCTCCCATGTCCCACAGGCCACTCAGACCCACACTCAGAGGAGGAGGGGAGGAGACGGGCCAGAAAGCTGCCAGGAAGCCAACAGTGCCTGGGGTGGGCATCCGACCCCAGCTAGGCCAACCCAAACCCTTCCCCGAGTACTGGTTTTCTGCTGTGTTGATTTTACTTGCTTATTTTTTTTTCTTTACTGGGGATTGAATGCAGAACCCTCGCACTGAGCTACCTCTCAGCCCTTTTTATTTTGACGCAGGGGCTCGCCATGTTCCTCAGTGGCCCAGGCTGGGCTCCAACTTGAGATCCCCCTGCCTCAGCTCCCCAGAGTGCTGGGAGGACAGGTGCACGCCATCATGCCAGTGAGTTTTCTTAGGATGCAGGCCGGCGAGTGACCGAAGGAGCCTGGGGGCTCACCGATGGGCATGGCGGGGATCTCCCTGTGCACTCGTGACCTGAAGTCCCGCGTCCCCCTCCCGTGTTCTCTCCCCACGACCAGGGCAGGCGCAGCGACTGCCTGTGTGTGCCCGGGTGCTCACCGTGCGGATCTCAGGGGCCGGGCAGGAGCCAGGCGGGGGTGCCAGGGGCCCCCGTGGGCGGCAGCCGTCACTCCACATGCAGAGGTGGCCCAGGTCCTCACGGCCCAGGCACTGGGAGCAGTCGGGGCTGCCCATGGCGCAGTTGTAGACCACGACTGGGGAGACACGTGCAACCGGTCAGCCCTCGGCGCCCAGTGCCCTCTCTAAACAGGGCCCTGCCGCCGTCACCCTCCTCTGGGGTGCATAGGGCAGCCACAGACCCTGCCATTCTAGGCGAGAGGCTCAGGCCCACAGAGCCCGGGGCAGCAGGGCCGGATTGCACCAGCCCTGTGTGGGGCTGTCCCCATTAGCGGCTCAAAGCCAGGACAGCCTCTGCAGATAGGTTCTGGGGCACAGGTTTGCACATGGAGCCCGGGTCTAGCCCTGCGGCACGCTGGCTCGGTACATGGCAAGGCCAGCTGGGTGTGGGGGTACATACCTGTCATCCCAGTACTCTGGGAGGCTGAGGCAGAAGGATCACAAGTTCAAACCCACTTGGGTACCTTAACGACTCCCTGACTCAAGAACTAAAAAAAGCTGAAGCCGTAGCTCAGTACAAAGCCCCTGAGTTCAGTCCCCAGTACCGTTAAAAAAAAAAAAAAAAAAACAAAGCCCCTGAGTTCAGTCCCCAGTACCGTTAAAGAAAAAAAAAAAAAAAGCAGGAATGGTTCCTGGCCTTAGCGCTGCAGCCGTCCAACACTGCCCCAAAGCTGTACAGGGACTGAGCCCTCTTTCACTGGGGACCGTGGGGCTCAGAGAGGGCATGTGCAGTTCTAGAAGCTGCATAGCCACTGGCAGGAGACGTTGCAGGGCCTGGTGCCTGGCAGGGGCACAGGAGAACAACGAGGAGAATGTGGGCCTGTACAGGCTGGGTTCCCAGCCACGAGGGGTGGGGTGCAGCGGGCCACTCACCTCTCACGGGGTCAGGGCTGTCCAGGAACTGAGGTGGCTGCCCCTGCAGCTGGAGGGTGAGTGAAAACACCTGGCTCTTCTGGGCCGTGTGCAGCTGCAGAGGACAGGAGGGTGGGAAGGGCCGTGGGTCTGGGTCTCTGTGGGGGGCGGGGGTGCAGGGATAGGGGGGAGGATGGGGGCAGCATCTGGGCTTTCCTTGGGTAGTCACCCCACTCACCAGCACGTGGCTGCAGCGGACAGCAGAGTCATTCACCCACACGGCCTCGAAGCTGTCCTCCAGCCCGAGGCTGCACCGGAGGGCTGCTCCCTGTGGGGGATGCGCAGAGGGGCTGCAGGGGCAGGCAGCACCATCCCCTCAACACCCCTGGGGCGCCCCAGCTGGCTGGCTGTGCCCCTCTTGAGTCCCTTCCCACCTCATGTCCAGAGTCTGGGGAGGCAGAGACCTTCCACCCTCCCTAGAGGCCTAAACCAGGCCGGGACTCAGCTCACAGCACCAGCCCCCCACCTAGGGGGAGCCCTAGGATTTCTGCAACGCTCTTCCCCAGGGTCTTCTCACTCCCCTAGCCTGTTCCCTTTCTACCACCAGCAAGATGCAGCACAGCCCTGACTTGAGCTCGAACATCCCTAGCCACAATGTTCCTGACACCTTCTATCAAAGGGGTGCCCCCACAGGATCCTGCATCCACCCACTTGGAGGTGGGTGTCAAGAACCCCCTGCCCCATCTCTCACTCACTGCAGGGGACTGGAGATGCCCAGCCCCTTGATGCCACAAAGCAGCCAGAAGAGCTCAAGCTGGGTTCAAGTCCCTCCTCTGCTCCTTCCTAAACAGCATGGTCTTATCCAGTCACCCCCTCTTTGCAGAGCTTTGATTTTCTTGCACTTTTTGTTTATTTGAGACAGGTCTCATTCTGCAGTTCAGGCTGGCTTTGAACTCATTATGTAGTCCAGGCTGGCTTCAAACTCACAACAATCAATTAGGGGGCTGGGGATTTAGCTCAGCGGCAAAGTGCCTGCCTGGCAAGAGCAAGGTCGTGAGTTCGGTTCCCAGTACCAGAGAAAAACCCCCCCCAAAAAAACAAACTCACAACAATCTTCCTGCCTCAGCCTCCCAAGTACTGGGATTATAGGTATGCACCACCAAGCCCTGTAGCTTTTTTAGCGTACACTAAAAATCACTAGAATCAGGACTCCTATCCCCTTCCTTGCAGGGTTGCTGGGGAAACTGCAGCATGCGCATCTTATAGGCTTGCAAACCCTGGGTGCCTAAATTGAGCTTTCTGTGATGGGTGTGCAGGAGGGGCTTAGTAATGTTTGCTGCTGGAGAAGACAGGGCCAGTGCCCCAGGCTCATCTGGCGCTCCCAGCAGCACCAGCACACGCTGCCCGGGTGAGCAAGCTAGGGTCCCTGTGGCCAAGGCCATGTGCCAATACATCTTGTCTGTGCTTCAGTTGCTAGACAAGTTGTCTGTGCTTCAGTTGACCTGACGGACAGCAGGGCAGGCTCCCGTTCTGGAGTCCCAGCTGGGAGCAACACAGGCAACTGGCCGCTGACTGGGTCAAGTGCCCATCTGTCCCCTGCGGAGCCAAGCTGGGGGAGCACACGGAGGCCCCGGCGTCCCAAAGGACAGGGACTTAGGGACAGATAACCTGGGGCCAGGGGGCCAGGGAGCCAGGGGGCCTGACCCGGCTGGGACTCCGCCGGGTCTCTCCCACACGTTCCGATGCTAGGCACGCAGCCGCACGTGTGACAGCCATCACCGCAGCTCCTCGTGGGAGCGGCAGATGGCCTCCCAGAGTGGGACGGCTGGCTCCCTGCCAGGACTCATAGACCCTTCCCACCCAGGACGCCGCGGGAGGGCGGGCGCGGGGTAAGCAAGAACCGGGCCATCTGCTCCCGTCTTGGTTTCCCCACCTGACAGGGCCGCGGCGGTCCACAAGGTAGAGGGGAATGAGGGGCTAGGAGGGGCAAGTGAGAACCACGCCCACCGAGTGGGCCACATCCAACCGGACCAGACACTCCGGGCCCCGCCCACCCCACCAGGGTCCATCACGCCCACCCCCGACTGGGGGCACTTGGGCCAATGTTCCCTACCCCAGCGGCGCAGACCACGCCCACCCGCTGCTGGGGCAGGAAGAACCCGGAGATCTTGGTCCCCCGGGTCCGTCCCGCTGTCGCCCGCCCCCGCCGCCTCGTGCTCTCCCGTCCTGACAGGGACTCCGGATGGGCCCCAGCGCTGGGTCGGGCTGCATGCCCCATGCGGAGACTCACGCGGAAGGAGGCAGCGTTTGCCAGTGGCACGAGGATGTCCTGGGCGCTGCCCGTGGGTGCAGGTGCCAGCAGCGAGGGCAGGGTCTGAGGACAGTCGCGGGGGCTCTGTGGATGGCAGGGAGGGTTGGTCACCACCAGTGCTGGGCGATGCTGGGGGGGTGGCAAGGGTCCCCTGGGCTGGGCTGCTGTCACATGCTTGTCCCCCAGGTTTAGGTGTGAGACCTGTACCTACAGGGCCCTGCCACCTTCTGACCTTCGTGCCCTCAGCCCACCTGCCCCCATCACCCTGCCTTTGGCTCCCATCCTGTCCTGTCCAGCGCTGCTCTCTTGGCAGAGCCTCCTGGGAGCCACATCCTCCCTTTTCCCAGCCCCTCTGATTGCCCACTGTTTCTGCCCTGAGAATCACAGGCCCGGGGTGGGCATTCTGACTGGGGGCCGCCTGGGAAACCCCTGCCAGCTGTGAGCACCTACACCTCTGTGAAAAACCAGCACAGAAGTCCCTGGGTACACAGTGGCCATCAGCCCTCCAGGTGGCCCATTTTACAGGTGGAGAAACAGGCCAAGAGAGCGTTAGGAGTCTCGCAGGGCTCACGCATCTGAGTCACACGCAAGGCTCTGCCCTCCCATGGGACAGCAGGACCACACCTAGCTGATTGTCTAGCATTTAGGAAGAAGGTGTCAGGACTTGGAAAGGCCTTCAGTGTGTTAAAGTTTTCATAAAATAGCACGGAGTGTGGCGGTGAGGCCCCGGCCCACTGGCTCACCATGGGGTTGGACGAGGCCTGGCACTGGGAGCGATTCGAGACACAGGCGTGCTGCTCCGTGCACCAGAAGCAGGGCCAGCGTGTAGACAGGCAGCTGGTGCAGCTGGAAGACAGGCCCTCAGACTCTGCCCCCGCCCCCACCTGGCCCTGCCAGGGACCTGAGCCCAGGAGGCGGGGGCACAGGGCACCCTGTAAGCGGTGAGCTCCCCGCTTCCAGACCTACGCAAGGGGCCTGGAAGAGGCCAGCATGTGTGGTGACGGGTTCTCTGGGGGTCTGCAGAGAGCTAGTGGGCAGGTGAGAGCCAGGAGGGACACTGTAAACACCTCCAGGGCCTCCTGAGGACCCTGACCCCACCCCCCCGCACCCACAGGGCATCCAGCCACTCACGCAGTGCTGGGGGCCACGTGGGCAATGCGGCTGCAGTCATAGATGGTGAAGTTGGCTGAGACAATGGCGCGCCCCTGGACCCTCAGGGACATCTCCATGGTCACGTGGTCTAGAGATCAGAGGCAGGGACCTCAGAGGCCAAGGATCAGGACTCGCCCCCAGCGCTCTCCGCCCTCCACCCCTCGCTCACCCTGGTGGGGTGGGAAGGCCGGAAAGCGGTCCCGGGGCAGGAGGTTGCAGTAGGCGATCTGGTGGCCGTCAGCGGGGCCCGGAACTCGGGCCACCGTGTGGATGCCGTTGCCATAGTCACAGGCCATCTCCAGGCCACTGAGGCTAGGCAGGCTGCCAGAGACCTGTAGGATCATGCCCTGGGGGCAGGGGACCTCAGTGTGGGACAGAGCCCTAGGCCTACAGCTGACCTGCCTGAGCACACTCTGCGGGGAGGCTGGTAGCGACCAGCACTCAAGGCCTGAGGGCTGCGAGCTGCCAGGCAGGCCCAATGGCTCCTGGCCCTCAGACCTCTTTGTCCCCTTATCCTCGGTACCCTGTGCACTGCAGCACCCTGCCAGAGCCACATGGCTCCCCCCGTCCTTGCTCAAGTGTCACCTCCCCCACCTCCCTGCCCTGACCAGATTGAAACAACACTTGCATCTCCCCACCCTCTGCATCACCGACTTTATTTATTTATTCATTCATTCATTTATTTTTGAGACAGGGTTTTGCTACGTAGCCCAGGCTGGTCTCCAACTTGCAACAACTCTCCTGCTTCAGCCTCCCAAGTGCTGGGATAACTGGCATGCAACACCATGAATGGCTCCTTCACACCTTACCAGGTCCTATTCGTTGCTGTGTCCCCAGGGTCTAGAATGTGCCTGGCACACAGCAGGTACCAGTAACCTGTGTGCAAGTGGGCGGGGAACCCACCACCTCCCTGGGCTGGGATTTTCCCTGCTGTGAATCCCGCTGTGCTGCGCACACATACTGGGTCACCTAACAGAAGGGACCCCGTGGCACTCACTGGGTGCTCCTGGCGCACGTTGATCTCAGCCGGCAGCACGGCCATGGCAGGGCAGCGGTCTGGGCCCTCGCTGGCGCTGGTCCAGAAGTACAGCTGGCTGGAGTTGGCGCAGTCCTGCTGCACAGTGCACCTGGGGGGTGGCACGGGTCAGGGCCCAGGCGACTGCTGCCTGCCACCCCCAGCATCGCCGCAGCCCAGGGCCTCACCGCGTCTCCAGCGCACACCAGCCGCAGTAGGCGTCTGCCGCGCCCACACAGTCCCCACAGGTGGCATGGGCCTCGCAGGCTGCGACCTTCAGACGGGCCATCTGGGGGGAGAAGTGGGCACTGTGCAGGGGCTGGGGAAACTGAGGCCCGCTGCTCCCCAGGGGAGGGAGGGAGGGAGTCTGGCTGTGCACAGCATGGAGGGGGGCGGGCCTCGGCCTCACCTGGTGGGAAGTCATCAGGTAGAGGTATCCAGGGTCCGTGGGGTCGAACTGCATGACTGGGTGCACGGGCTCCCCGTAGGCCACTGTCACCACACGCCGGCTGACCACCTGCATGCTCTCGTTCAGGCTGAGCTGGGGGCAGGGGCACCAGGTGGTGCTCGGCAGCTCCTCCCCGTCCTGCCCCTGCACCCCACATGCTCCATTCCACTCTGGGCCTCAGGGCGTCACCGCCGAGAGTGAGGCCCCAAGTCTGAACTCTGTGCCATCGTGCACGTCGCACAAGCCACCTCTCCTCCAGCCCTGCAGAGCCGAGGGCCACAGAGAAGCCCCCAGCCAACCTTCTTGTGCCTCCTCTCCCACCCACTTCACATGGGGGAAGCTGAGGCCCAGAGCCCTGTGCTTGCCAGGCCGTGGTCCTGCCCCATCAAAGCCCTGGAGCAGCCTCCAGCGCTTGACAGATGAGGAAACAGAGGCCAGAGCACTCGGCTGGCCCGTGGCAGAGCCCACAGACCTGGGCACAGGTCTGTGCAGCTTCAGAGCCCCGTGCACCTGTCCTACCTTGAGGAGCCTCCCTGTGGCTGTGCCCAGGAAGATGGCTGTGTAGTTGTTGGGGCTGGCCACCGCCACGGCAGTGAGGCCGGGCGCACGGAACACAGGTGTGGCCTTCAGCGGCTGCAGGATAGTCAGCGGGTGCTGCAGGTGGGCTGCTCCACAGTCTAGCTGCTCTGGCTGCAGCTGCAAGAGACACACCAGTCAGCCCGACTCCAGAACCTTCCACAGTGCCCGGCTGCCCCTGGGGCAGGTTCTCAGGACTCGGTGCCCCAGGTCCAGATGCTGCAGGACCCATCCCCACCCCAGAGAGGCCCTGACCTGGGGTCCACATGAGAATGGCTCGGGCTGGCAGGGACCAGACCAGTCTGACTTCACAGGCTGAGGGAGCACAGTGGTCCCAGCCACCCAGGAGGCCAAGGCAGGAGGGCTGAGTCAAGAGTTCAAGGCCAGCCCAGGCAATTAATTAATTTTTGTGAAGCTGGAGATCAAACCCAGGGCCTTGTGCATGCAAGGCAAGAGTTCTACCAGTGGGCCACATCCCCAGCCCCTAGCTCAGGCAATTTAGAGAGACCCTGCCTTGAAATAAAAACTGGGTGGCCAAGGGGTGACCAGGGAGTGGAGCGTTCCTGGGGCCAGTCCCTGGTAGGAGGGTGGGGAGTAGGGATGTAAGAAGAGAGCAGACCAACGCCCTGCCTTGGGGCTGCCACTCCCAGCCCAGCAGAGGGCACACCTGCTTCCGTTTATCCGGCGACCTAAGGGGTCTCCTCTTGCCCAATCCCTGCACCTGGGCTGGCTCCACCTCCTCTCACTCAGCTTGGCTAACTAGGCCGCTCCTCACAGGGGCCAGGCAGCGGCAGAGGGCGCCAGGCCCCCAAGCCTTGTAAGGTTCCCAAAGATGCCGGTGCAAGGCGGTGGCTCAGGAGAACTGGGTGCCCCCAGGTCTGACGGGAGGGCATCCCCCCACTGCCTCAGTGAGTCCCCTGCTAGAACCAAGGACGCCGTGCTCCCAGCACTGGCCCGTGCCATGTACTGTCACCCTGAACCCTGGGGCCTCTGTGAGCTCTGATCTCAGGGACAGGATAACTGAAGTGCAGAAGATCGCCAGCGGCACGGGTAACCACCCCCTCTGTGGCCCCCTGCCTCTACGTGGGGCTCAGGGACCCGCACAGTGCAGCATCCCTGCAGTCTTCAGGGAGCTGCTCTCTGGGGTTTGCTTGTCGTCCTGAGCACTGTCTGTGAGCCTGAGCCCCTGCCGGGTGCACTCCAGCTGTCAGCACAGCAGGCGTCCGGGCGGGGCCCCTGGGTCAAGCGTGAGTGCTCCATGGCTGTGGGTGACCTGGGCTGGACCCCTCGCTTCTCTGGGCCCCAGTTTACCCAGTACAAGTGGCACATCAGCCATCAGGTGACATGCAGTGGAAAGGGAGTTCCGCGACCAATATGCGTTGCTAACGTTACCATCATAAAACGGAACTGGGCCGCAGCTCAGCGGGGAGCGTGTGGCTGGCAGACCCCACCCCAGGATAATGACAGCCAGGTCCCTCCTCAGCCCTCCCGCGGTTCCCAGGACCCCCAGAACGACCCTGAATATGAATCCTCCCTGCCTGAGCCCCTTCACCCCTTCGCCCCCAGCCCACACCCGCCATGCCAGAAGCTCACGGGCACCCACCTGGCCCAGCCCCAGGGCCTTGGCCTTTACTTCTCCCTCTGCCCGGGCACCAGTCCCAGACAACAACCCCCTCGTCCCTAGGGACATCCAGAGACCCCCCCCCCCAGGAAAGCAAGGATGGCGCCTCACCCCGCACACACGGAACTTCCTCCTAGCACACAGGCTGGAGGTAAGATCTGACTCACACGCTAAGCACCACAAGAGAATGACAGTAACAGTGACGCAACTGAGACGACAACGCGCCGGTCAGAAAGTTGGGTGAATGTTCTGTTTCCCAGTCACCTCAGTGCCCCCAGCACCCAATTTCTGTCCTCTTTATGATGTCAAGGTCATCAGCCATCAGCCCGTGCTGAAAGGAAGTGCTGGTGGCTTCTCTGCGGGGTCTCTGTCTCCAGAGTCGCTGCTCCCGGGCTTTGGGGGGCTGAGACGGGGAACCCAAGGGGACCAGACACCGGCCTGCGCCCAGGGACGCCTGAGGCCTTGCTGGCGGGCCGGCGAGGGAGGGCTCCCCACAGGGCGGCCGCAAGGGGACCCAGGACAGAGCAATTGAAAATGGGTGGCCTGCTGGCTTCTGGAATTTTCCACTGAATGCTGTGGACCTCAGCTGACCGAGGGGAGCTGGCACCAGGAGTGGACCACAGATGGGACGGCCCTGCAGCCTCCATCTCCCCAGGCCCCGGCGCGGTGGGCAATGGTTATGTAACTGTCGTGAATGTGGGTCACTCGGTCATTAGGAAATGGGTTGGGTGCAAATGAAAATTGCCGGCCCCGGGGGAGGGGCCCCAGATGACACCGGCAAGGCTCTGTGCGCCCAGCCTAGAGCTAGGGCTGGCCCAGGGGTGACCTGTGGGCCCCCAGAGGCATGGGCTGGGACCTGGCTCTGCTGCCTGCCCTGACGTTCACAAGCCATTAATTCTGCACTGAAGGAATTTTCTAAAAGCCTTCCCCCAGCTTTTTTTTCTTATCCTAAAAATAAAGTCTATGAAAAAAAATTTTTAAAGGAGAAGCCACCAGCTGCTCTGAGCGATGGTTCTGGTCCCAGGCTGGCTGGGACGGGGCTGTGGGCCAGGAAGGCAGCAGGTATGGGGACAGCCCCTAGCACACCCCTGAACCCCAGGCCAGACCCTGCTGAGCTGCAACCCTCAGTCCCCAGTCCCTCAAATACCTCCCCGCCCCCTCCCAAAGGTCTGTGCCTGGACCTTTGCAAATGGCCCTCCACAAGCCAGCGTCCGAGCCTTACACTAGTTACCCCTCCTGACCCACACTGCCTTCTTCCCAGCGGCGCCCAGCCTCCAGGACGTGGCTGTAGAGAAATGCGTCCCTGCTCTGTGATGCCACACTGCTGGCAACACAATCGTGAGCCTTCCCGGCATGAAGGCTGAGCTCTGGGGCGAGTGTTTACTAAGGAAGGGGGACTAAGTTTGACTAAAGTGTGAATGACTGTATTCAGCAGCTTCTGTTACAAGCAGAGTGACTGAGAGCAACACAGCTGTGCGGGTGCCAGGGTGCCAAGGGAGGTGTGGGACTCAACAGCACAATCACTGCACGCTGCTGGGGATATAGCTCAGTGGTATAAGTGCCTGCCTGGCAAGAGCAAGGTCCAGAGTTCGATTCCCGGTACCAAAAAAAAAAGAATCACTGCACGTAGTGACAACACAGGTTCCAACTCCTCAGAACCTCAGGCCCTTGCAGTGGGACACAGCGGCCAGGCCTCTGCTCCTTCCTGAGCGCCCTCCCCAGGGCTGGTGGCCTCCCAAGTCCAGGCCTCCACTACAGGGAGGCCTATCAACCCTGTGGCCTTAACCGTACTGACCCCCTCTCCCAGGGAGCCAGCTTGGCAGAACTCCCGTTCCTGCCTCGGCCTGGCCCCCAAAGCAGGACCAGCATGGTCATGGCTCCACCCTCTGGGCATCTGCTTCAGGTGCTAGGCCACAGCAGGGTGCCTGACCCCACCCCTCTCAGACCCTCTCAGCCGCAGCTCAGCAGGCTCAGGGTCTGAGCTGCTCCCACACACCAGGCAGGCGCTTGCCATGGAGCTGCAACCCCAGTCCCTGGGGGGCTTTTAAGGCCATGGTACACAGAAGACACTGCCCCGCAGGGGGGGAGGGCGTCTGTAACGTGAACCCCAGTTAGTGAAGAGTGATGTTTAAAGCTGGTCTCTTCACTTTGACAAACGTTGCATGGTAACAAGACGGGGGCAGGGGAGGTAGGGGAGGGGACACAGGAACTGCCTGTGCTATCTTTGTAACTTTCCTGTAAATCTAAAATTATCTCCAAATAAAAATGTTTATTTAAAAAAAACCTACAAAGTAGGTCGTGGCCCCTCTGCAGCTCAATGGCCTTCAATGGCTCCCTAGTGCTCTCCATAGAAGCCCACCCCTGGCTCCCGGGCCTGCACCCGGCCAGCCCTGACCTCTGGGTCTCTCTCAGGACCCTTGTCCAGACCCACCGCCCCGTCATCATGGGGTCCCAACAGCGACCAAGACCTGAGAGAATGTGGTCCTGTCTCCTCCATTGGGCGGGAGCAGGGAGCAGGCAGGGACCGGTCGGGGTAGGGCCAGGGCAGAGGTGAAATGCCCCAGGACTGTCACCCCTAAGCTCTGCCTCCCACCTCGGCACACGCTGCTCCTGCTACGCCGTGGCTCCACTGAGGGTAAACTGAGGCACGGGGAGCTGAGGCCTACTGTGTACCACCCGGGAGGGAGCAGGATGGGCTCAGCTCTGGCGCTCCACGCCAGGGGTAAGCCGCACCTCCTGCGGTGTCCACCAGGCCTCTGTCCCCCTCCCTCCCCAGCGCCTGCCCGGATGTCCTGTCTCTGCCTCCTCCCCTGCAGGTGACACCACAGGACACTACAGTCCCGTCCCTGCTGGCTCATGTCTTCTGCCCAGCCCTGTCTGCTGTCCCTGCTGGGTCCCAGAGCCACCCACAACCTTATGGGCTTAGCTGAGTGGACACAGCAGCCTGGAGATCTCAGGGAACAGGGACAGGAGGTGACACAGCTCCTGCTCTCTCTAGGGCGCCACTGGACTGCAGGAAGCTGAGGCGCAGGCGTGGGGAGGTGAAGTCACTTGTGTGGCTACACCAGGACCACCCACCCTGCCTGGGGCTCAGGCACCTGCGCTGCAGAGACCTGGGCCGTAAGCAGAGGGAGCCGCAGCCCAGCTCTCGGCTTGGCCTCCACCCCAAGGCCACCGCCCCATACCGCCCCACTATTCACCGATCAGATCAGAGTGCGGCACTCAGCGCCCTAATGGAGCCGGAGCATCCTCTCCCTGCAGGCTTGATTTATGGTGTCAGCGCGGTGGCGCAGGGCCAGGCCTGCCTGGGGCTCTGTCCCGGGCCAAGATGGGCCCCATCACCTCCTGCTGGCCCTGGGCAGCGCTGTCAGGAATTAGGGAGTAAGGGTGACAGGCGCAGCCTGTGGGACCCAGCAAGTCCCTTAACTTCCTGGGCCTCTGCTGGACCCTACAGGTCACCTGTCTCACTTGTTCTCCAGGGGCTAGAAGGCCAGACTGCAGGTACAGAGCTTCAGAGAGCCTGTGGGCCACACAGGTCAGACAGTGGTGACATAGACAATGGCCTGCTGGCGGCCAGGGCTTTCCTCCACTGTTCCCCTGAAGCCACCAAGACTCAGGACACAGATGGGACACGGAAGCAGAGTGTCTGGGGTGTGAGAGCCACCCATCCCAGGGCGAGGGGCGCTGCGGTCCCAGGCTGGTCAGGACCGTGCTGTGGGTGTGCAAAGGAACCTGAACACAGCAACCACCCTGACACTTACAGGCCCTTCCTGCCTGCAGCCTCCTCAGGAGGCTGCAACAGCCCAGCTCAGCCCAACACGCAGGGGTTCCGAGTCACCACGGCCCAGTGGGGGGCCACTCAAAGAGGAGGCGCCCAGGGTCAAGCCTAGCCAGTGATCAACCTCCAGAGGCTGGTGGTCTAGACTCCAGCTGGTCTGGGGATCTTGACCTCTCTTACACAGCTATACGGCCCTGGCCAAGCCCGCTCCCTTCTAGGGTCTCAGCTTCCCCACCGTGGGGTGTGGGTCAGCCCCGACTGTCCCAAAACTCCCCCAGGGGCCTCAGCTAGCACCCTCAGCTCTGGGGGTTTTCTCCCAGCCCCAGCCCAGGGCCCTGTACGAAGCCGTTCTTCGAGCTCCTCCACCCCCACCTGGCATTTCAGACCCTAAACTGGTATAGAAAACACCTTCCCACCATGCGCCCGCCCACCCACCCACCACATGCCAGGGAGAGCTGCTGCGGAGCTTTCCACCTTCGCTATAAAAAGATACCTTGAGAGTGGCGCTGGCATCTGTCTCTGCTCCTTCTAGTCTACTTAAGGACACCGGGGGACGGGAGTTATACGGCCTGCCCCCACGGTGCTAGGTGACCCCGCTCCATTGCCCTCATTTTACAGATAAAGAAACTGAGGCGCAGAGAGGTCCTGTTGCAGGCCTGAGGTCACAGCCAGGAAGTGGGGATGGGATCCGAACCCAGGGCAGTCTGAGCCCTTAGCTTGCAGCTAGGGACAGCAGTGGTGACCCCCAGTGGGACTCCCACCCGTGCACTGGAGAGGCGCAGTGCCTCGGGCCCAGGGGGGCCGGCACTCAGGGAGAGCAGAGCTGCGGCCACATCTGTGTGGCCTTGGGGTGAGGAGGAGGAGACCTTGGCCGCCATCCTGGGCTGTGTCCCCGGAGAGGCCCTGCCCCGGGGAAAAGCCGCCTTCTGCAGCGTGAGTCACCGCAGGGGCCAGGGAGAGGACTGAGGAAGGGACCAACCGTGGGAACCAGGACAGCTCTTGCCAGAGGGGGAGGGGAGGCAGCTGCAGAGGGGTGGGGGGGCTCTCTCCGGCTCAGGCTTGCTGTGGCCCCCGGGCAGCCTCAATCCAAGCCTCCCCTCCTCTCACCCTCCTCTCCAGCCCAACTCCCCCTGCCCCTGTCCTTGCAAGCAGAGCCCTGACTCTGCCCCCTGCCCAGGAGAGGGGCACTCTCAGGCTGTCTTCCCATCACCCACCAAATCTTTATTTTCAGCCCCCCCACCGCCCGCCCTGCAGGAGAAGGAATGCACGCTTCCTCAGAGCCCGAGCTGGGCAGGGCCATGGCAGGAATTAATCTCGGAAGCCTTGGCCGAAGCCTGGGGACCTCAGAGAAACTTGGGCTGGCTCTGCATTCCGCCGAGTCTGGACATCATCTGGGGCTCAGGGAAGAAAACGGGGATCCACAAGCTGCCGGGAGGCAGAACCGCTGGCTGGGGCCTCCAGCGTGCCTCTGTCACATCGTTCAAGGTCAACAATCTGACCCCTCATGGGCCTCTGCCCAACCCAGCCCGGGACAGCTGTGCCCCTCACCCACTGGGCTCCTCACTGCCCCTGCACCCACGCACCACCCTCCATCCTCCCGGCTGCCCCCCAGCCCCTCAGTCTCTCCAGCACCGCCCCCCCAGCACACACGCACTCGAGCACATGCATCCCAGCTTCACGAAGGCACCGCCGCACAGCACAGCGGCTGAGGCGGGACAGCTGTCTCCACACCTCCTGTCTGCCTTGCCAGCTGCGTGATCTTGGGCAAAGCAATTCCCTGCTGTGCCTGGGATGGGGCTAAAAGGCTGCCGTGACCACTGAGACCTGTGACTCGCCCTGTGTGTGACAGGCACTCCACAGATACTACTGCTTACCCCACCTCCGTCACGCCTGGTGTGGACTAATCTCTAGCAAACGTTTGCTGCAAGAATGAATAAAAGCTGGTCTTAGCCGGGCGTGGTGGCACACACGGTAACCCCAACAGCAGGCTGACGAAGAAAGATGACTGAGTTGGAGGGCAGCCTGGGCTACATGGAGAGTGTCTAAAAAATAAACCAACTTTGCTTTGGCACACACCTTTCTGCCCACCAGGGCCTCCTCCAGAGCTTACTCCTCCCCAAGCCACACGCTACCCCTCTATGCCCTTGGCTGTCGCACACATACTTGTCACCTCTCCCTCAACCTTCAGAGCCATCCTGCAGCCCTCTGGCACGCCTGCCACACCGCGCACCTCTCTGCCACCGCTCCATGGAGCACACCCGCTGCAGCACACTTGTGCCAATCCCTCCCGCACCTCTCGCCCTGTGCCCCTGCCCTGCACGAACCTGGAGGTTGCGCTTGCGCTCGCAGGCCGGGCCCGTGCCCTGAACCACGCTGTCCAGCACAGCCACCACGCCGGGCGCGGGCTCCACGAAGCAGGCGGCGCGCGCGGCGCGGATGGCGGCCTGCACGTCTGCGAAGCGGAAGGCGCAGAGTGCGGCGGGTGCGGGGGCTGCACGGGGCGCGGGGGCCGCCGGGGGCCGCTCGAAGACGCCGAAGAGGCGCTCACGCGTAGGGAACACGGACACCAGGCGGCTGTAGAGATCGCTGCGGCCCGCGCCGCCCGCGCACTGCAGGCCCAGCTCGATGTAGGACTCGGTGAGCTTCTTGGCGTCGCCGCGCGGCAGGCAGATGCGCGCCAGCAGGCTCCGTGCCTGGCCGTCCTTGTCGCCCGAGCGCGCCTCGCTGGTGAACGCCAGGTAGGCGTAGGGCTCTGAGCCGGGCGGGTGCAGGAAGGCGCGCACGAAGCGCAGCCGGTGCCGCTCTTTGGCGCCCTGCTTGATCTTGAGCACATTGTCGTCCGACGGGTTCAAGTCGAAGGTGAAGAGCCGCGCCGGGTCGCCGCGCGCGTCCAGCGAGCGGATGGCCACCTCGGGCGTGTTCTCGAAGCGGTGGTCCTCCAGGCTGCGGTTGCGCGGGAAGAAGGCGCTGCCGAAGCCCGTGTAAGTGGCGCCCACGAGCAGCCGGCTGCCCCCCGCGCCCGCGGCGGGTGGCAGCACGAGAGCCACGGTGGAGGCGTCGGCGTGGTTGGCGGCCACGTTGAGCATGCTGGGGAACACGGCCACGGGCGCGGCGGGCGGCGCGGCGGGCGGGAAGCGCACGGCCAGCGCCGAGATGTTGCCGCGGCGCCGCAGCTGGCAGAAGCCCTGGAACACCGAGCCGCACGCCACCACCAGGCCCTGGCGTGCGTCCAGCTGCAGGATCTTGTTGTGGTTGTCGGTGAGGCGCCGCGGGTGCTCGCACGAGGCCTGTGGCAGCTGCGGCGCGTGGCACAGCGGGCTGTCGCGCACCGGGCCCACGGCCGCCTCGGCCTGCAGGCTCAGGTCGGCGCCCGACAGCTGATACAGGCGATTCACGGCCGCCAGGTACACCGTGCCCGCCGCGCCGTCCAGCGCGAAGTTGTTGGTGGGCGTGGGCGAGGCGAAGCGGCGCTGCACCTCGAGCCCGCGGGCTGCCGCGGCGAGCAGGAGCAGGAGCAGCAGCGCCCCCGGCCGG